ACTCTGCCTGCGGGGCTCTGCCTGCGGCCCGGCTCCCCCTGGCGCCCCGCAGAAGGCAGGCACTCCGGGAGGAGGAGGGCTACCCCGGATACATCTTTCAACAGGGCCTTCCCGCCGCCTCCTCAGCACCCACACAGGCAGGGAGCGCGGGGTCGTGGGTGCCCAAACCCTGCATGATGCTGCTGCCGCATTGTGCTGGTTCTCCCGTGGTGCTGCCCGCTGCTCCTGTCCCAGGAGGCGGTTATTCGCCCCGCTGCGAGCTACACCCCGCTCTGCCTGGGGAAGGTGAGGGCTGCTGCACACCCCAGCATGGAGCTGGGACACCGGGCAAGCTGACAGCACGTCAGGAGTGATAACCTTGGGCAGAAGTGAGCTGATCTCGTGGGGAGCTATTTATTTCTTTGAACCTCACTTTTCATTTTGGGAGCTTCCAGGCAGACACTATGAACAAGCCTACATCCAGCAGGGGTTGCTGAATGCTGGGCAAACGATGGCTGTTGTGATAGTGGACATGAAAGCACCATGTTGCATAAAGGGTGAGTTACACGTAGTACAACCAGAAGTATCCAACAACTTACCACTGGCAAAAGGAAAATGTCTTTCTCCCCCTGAGAGTCTGTTGCATCAGCTCCTCAGCACCTTTGTTTGTTCAACTCACAGCATGGGCATAGAGTTAACCCAGTGGAAAGAGAAAGGCAGAACGAACCGGGGAAGGGTGAGCCCAGATAAGAGGGAAAACCAGAAAGTAGGTCTTATTGGCAGATTATTTCCCCTGAGCTAACTCCAGTGGGTGTGTGTGTTGATGACATGGTTCATCTACAAACTATGCTGCCTATGAAAATTTGACTTTGTTCAATAAAGTACATCACATTGTACACCTTGTCACTAGTTACATCAAGTCAGAGCATGACACCCAATTCAAAATGACTGCAAAATGTTTTCTGAACAAGCAAATGTACAGCTGTGTTTTCTTCAGGTAATCAAAACAACTATGCAGGAAGGTCCAATTTACACAGGCAGAGAAGAAACTAGGTAACTCAGGAACTGAAATACAAGTCTGTCATGGGACATGGAGCTCTTTATTCAGAGGAGAAAACACCTTATTTAGAGATAAAATTGCCAGACAACTTCATTATACTTCTAGAACATCACCTTAACAAAGATTGGTCTCTGGAAGTCAGAAGAAGAGGAGTTAAGGCCTGCATGCCAGGTCAGAATGAAGATACCTCAAACACCAAGCCTGCTCTTCAGGCTGGCATTAACCACCGGGAAACATGTGCCAGTGCACCTGCTGCATTCCCTGTATCACCTGCTCTTTTAATATGTGAAAGGAGGACGTGACTGGGTTGCATAGCAGAAATACGTTCATGCTGGGAAGCCAGCTGGTGGAAAGGCACCTTTGGGTGGGGAAGTGTGTGTTGACCTGGCTGTATGGGAGAGAAGACCAGTATGTCTTGTTTCAGAGCTGCATATTGTAGGTCATGGCCTCACTGGAGCAAAGGGGTTTTGTCTTTTTTACCCTGGAAATTTCCAGCTGGAATGCTGGATGTAGGTGATTGTGATATGTACTTAAAACTATGTAAATGAGGTATGCGATGGTACCCTGCATAGAGTCAGCAGTTGTGCTTCCCCTGTTGAGTATCAGGAATTTCTCTCAGTTAGGCTTCTCAATAGTTAGCAATCCTGAACAAGTATAGGAAGTTGCTGAAGAAAGGAAGGCTACAGCTGGGAGAACCTGACCATATGAAGCATGAGTGAATTGCCATGAAGTGTAGTGAATACGTGAATCTGTAGAGTTCACAACCATTGTCATATTTATTAAAAGGGTTATTATTGCCAGGTGACATTAAAATCCCTCCCTTCTTTTCCTTTGTGAATTATTGTAAGCCTATTTGCACTTTACTAGGGTGCTATAAAACTAAGGATGCCAAATGGTCAGAACTGGATAATACTTCTGCCAATTCCAGAAGACAATCTAAAGCTGGTGTTTCTTGTTTGTCTGGCATCCACAATTGCTCTTAAATTAGTATAATTTGTTTGGTTTATAGAAATATAAAGCATGAAATTCCATTCTCAAAAAGAGATGCCAGCTCACTGGAGACGGAAAAGCTTTCTGTTCTTCTCATGTGGTCGGGTTGAGCCTGTAGTAATAAGCTACATGAAGACAATGCCATTGCCTGCAAAGGAGATACTTAGCTTTCCATGTGTAACTTACCATATGCTATAGCACTAGCCTATTGGATAAGCTTTTGAGGATGAAGTCATATTTGTTTTCTTTGCAACTGCAGGGACTGCCCCACTAATTTGCTTTTCCAGTCACCTTGAGCACTCCTGAGCAGGAAGTGACAGAAGAGTGTCATCACGTTCCTATTGTCTTTGGCTTCTTCGCCGATACTGTCAACAAGCCAAAATGTTTGAGCCAATTAAATGTTTAGGCTGAGATACCAATGCATCTGCTCTCTGAATATTTAATTCCTCACAGAAACATGTAACAACCTTAATTTAGGTTAACATGAACTGGATTGGGCCCTGCAACTTTATGGGAAAACACCAACCTCATGCTGGAGCAATGGTGAGGTAACCATTGTACTTACAGAGAGCTGACCTGTAAAAGCAAAGGCGTTAAACTCCTTCTGTGGGTAAAGCTGTTTACATTTACACCATACTCCTGCCACTCAACCTGTTTTGGACCTTTAAGCATTCAAGGGTTTACATTTAGACCACAAAAAAAAAAAAAAAAAAAAAAAAAAAAGAAAAGGCCTCCTAAGGCTTTCTAGCAGTCAAGTGACAGGAGTTTGTGGGTTGGTTTGTTGGTTGGTTGGTGGTTTTTAACCTATATCACTTTATACAACTGTGCTACCAAGAAATCTTAACTAGACTAAAGTAGGATTTAACTAGTTAAACTAGACTAAAGTAAGAGGCAATAGTATTGGCAATGTATGCAGACAAAAATGATTGCTGAAAAATATTTACATTTCACATTTGCAAGGCTGCATTTTTACCCCTTTTAAATTCCAACTGTAATGGGCATTTTAAGGGTAAGAGAGAGTATGGAGGGAGCTGGAGAGATTCATATTGAAAAAGAATAAAACAAAATTGTCTTCCAAGTGTGGAGCTGATTCAAATGCAATGTTGTCAGTGAAAGGACTAATAATAGGGATAGTGAAGACTGAAGATGGACAGTGGATCAGGTATGGGCTTGCAAAAGAGCGTAGTGGGAACAAGAGCAGCACTTTAATTTTGGGGTGTGTGTGTGGAGAAACATCACCATGTAACACGTGTAACTTCTCTCCCTGTGAATCAGAGACACTAGAGGGGTTAGCAAGGTTACCTTAGTTTTAAGGTTAGCAAGTCTTGCCTGGCTTTGTTACCAAGGGAAGCAGTGTGATTTCCTGCTACTTCAGTGGAGACCGTACCAGACCTGGGAAATGGGCCGCAGACTCCCAGGAGTGAAGTGTGACCCAGCCAAGGGCTGGGTGCTACTGGGACAGCTTACACGGGATTTGTCTGAGCACCAAGGAAATGTGTCAGGCGTTGGTCAACTTCTTGCCGTCCCACATCTTCCACCCCTGGGGAGGAGCTCACGTGCCTGGGCTTTGTCCTAAGTCACACTCTGCTTAGGGCTGTGGCACTGGATTTATGGCGTTTGGGCTACCCTTGCTTTCCAAAAGCCTCTTCTGGAAGTGCCCGGGGACCAGCCCGGGGCACTGGTCACCTCCCGCGCTCTGAGGCCGTCCCAGGAGGGGATGGATGGCTGTGGCGGCCGTGCTGAGCCGCGGTGGTGGCAGCGGCACGATGGGGGGGGATCCTGCTGCCCTGCGAACCCCCGCCCACCCCTCGCCCCTCGCCCGGCCGCCTTCGAGGCCCCTACAGCAAGGCGAAAGGGGATCGGCCCTCTCCTGCCCCAGCGCCGACCCTCTCCCCTCGGCTCCCCCTCGCACGCCCGAGGGG